TGTAATCCCCATAGAGTTTCCTTCCCCAAGACACCCGTGCACCATCACCACAGTGCCCTGTGTTCCTCCCTCCCTCCCTCTAATCCCTCTCCCTCCTCCTCCCCTGTAGTATGTCTCTGATTTATAATTGTCTGTTTTTGTTTTGCTGTGTTTTGTACTGTTATTATTTTTTTACACTGATGTCTTATTTGGTTCCCTATATTCCTGTTATAAGTGAAACCATCCAATATTTTTCTTTTTCCTTCTGGCTTATTTCACTGAGCATAATTCCTTCTAGCCCCATTCACATTGCTGTGAATGGCATGAGTTTATCTTTTTTTGAATTTGAGAATTCTTAAAGGAAAAACATGAGAGACCGTTTCCCTATTCTCAGGAAGAAGATCAGAATGGCAATACCTTCAGTATTTAACAGTGTGTTGGAAAGATTAGCCAATGCAGTCAGACAAAAGAAAACAATTATAATTAAGAAGGAAAAAAGAAGGGAAACTATTTCTATGTACTGATATTATACAGGGACGACCCAAGACAATCAATTTTACAACAAATAAGTAATAAAGAATTCCTTAACAGGGCCTCCCCGGTGGCGCAGCGGTTGAGCGCTGGGTTGCGAAGCTGCCCGCAGCCTCTGCAGCGCCGGTTCAATCCCCGGCTGCTCCCCGGCCACCAGAGGAGGGTCCCACATGGCGCGCAGACCTCTCCTGCCGCCCGCTGCTCCCCTCAGCAGTGTACTTGGGTCCTTCTGCCTGCTCTGCTCCCCGCTCTGGCTCTGGTGGATTCTCTCACCCTCCCGCGCTTCTGACTGTACCCAGTGCTTGTATAAATAAATAAATAAATCTTAAAAAAAAAAAAGTAGAGAGAATTGAGAGGACACTTTAAAAAAAAAAAAATTCCTTAACAAATGTTGCAGAATATAAAACTGACATACAATACTCAATAACCAACTACCAGTGAGCCATCTGCTACTGCTTTTCAAAAAGATAAGGAGCTCTCACCAGAAGGCAAATCTATTAAACCACTAAGTACCCTAATGAACAGGCTTTTTTTTTTTTTTTTTTAAAGAAAACCTTCCTAGTTTTGAACAGCCCAATGAGTTGACTTATATGACTCTGGGAGTAACACCTAGATAAAGGAAATAAATAAATGTTAATGTTAATAGGAATCAGGATACTCCTTTTAAGAATAAAACTATAAAACAGAATATGAAAAAACTCTGTAATGTTGAAATTTGAATTATAAATACCAGTTTGAACTTATAATTAAAAAAATACGTACTTCTTAATTCTATCAAATAGCACCACAATAAAAATGAGCACATCTAGTACCAAGATCTTAGTGTTTTTGAAATACCAATTTCCACTAAAAGAAAACTTTTGAGATATTGCTAATTCCAGCCTTAGAAAGCAAAATGCAAGATGAATCTGTGATATCTTCTACCAAATTCAATTAAGTGTTCAAACACCAATGAGATCATCAAAACACCATGCTCAATGAAAATGTCAGTCACCAAAGAACACTTACATGATTCCATTTATATGAAATACTCAGACAAATCTACAGACAGGAAACTGGTTTGTATTTGTCAGGGACTAGGGAAAGACTATTACCCCTGCTACTCTTCATCCAGAGTAGCAACTGTAGACATTATTTTTGCTACATCTGCATGATAACTGAGGCTGGGCAGGATATAAAACCTTTGATTCATACTTCCTTTCTCTGAAAAGATTCCATTCTTGTTTTGATTCGTATATTGAACCACTTCATGATTTTGCCTGCATGCCCAGAGTGATTTTCCTGGACATACTAAAATATGTTTTAAAGTTGACTTTTATAGTCAATTTTTAGCTCCACTGTTTAGGATTTATTTATTTTTTTTGTAAGCTTTTACTGAATTAGCTTTAAATGCCAGTTTGATTTATTATTTTATTGTTCTTCTTTAGAACATTCAGTTATAGGTGTGTTAGATCTTCATTGTCTCTCTTTTATATCTATTATTTTATTTCTGAGATTTTTGTTAGGATGTATTTATTTATGCATACAAGAACGGGGGTACAGGCCAGAGGTGTGAACAGAGTGGGAACAGAACAGGCAGAATGAGTGAAATACACTGCTGAGGGGAGTAGCAGGCGAGTCAGGGGAGGTCTGCTGCGCCATGTGGGTTGCTCCCTGGCCAGGAATCAAACTTGTGCTGCAGCAGCTGCAGTCAGCTTCATAGGTTGCGTCTCAACCCCTTGTGCCACCAGGGAGACCCATATTTCTGAGTTTTTTGCTTTTTTAATATTAATTCTCTTGGTAAATGTTTATGTCACTTTTCCATTTTTCTGTTGTACGCTTTGTTGAATCTATACCCCTTCATGAATCTTGTAATTTAGTCCTAATTTGAGGGATCATTTTTTTTCACTTTGTGTTCAGTCAATTTTCACTTGAATATTTTTGTTTTAGGGCCTCCATGGTGGCATAGGGGTTAAAGTCTCAGCGCTATCTCTCATACCCCTCCCGCCCACACCTCTGGTCTACACCCCAGTTCTTGTATGCATAAATAAATAAAAATAAATCTTTTAAAAAAATTTTTGTGTGTCCACTCCTCTTCTGGATTTGTGAATTTCCAATTTATTTTACTTTCATATCTGTTATTGCTTGTTAAGAGTATTTGATTGATATTGGAGTGTTGTGCTAGTTTTTTCTATTTTGAGGTTGGTTCTTG